GGTCCTGCCGTTAGCTGGGGTGATGCTGCAGCCACTGCTCCCCTGTAGCCTCAGGAAAACTGCAGCATCCTCCCCAGTGCCTGCCCCGTCCTCCATCCCCTGCCCTCTCTGACAGCCCCTCTCCTTCCTTTCCCCCCACCCCAGTGTAAGCAGCCACGACCGCGGGCAGACCTACAGCGCCGAGTGGTCCGACGATGAAGGCAGCAACTCCTTCAACACCAGCGAGGCCAACGGTGGCACCAACCCCTTTGACGAGGAGTCGGTGGGGAAGGGCGTGCGGGTGCGGGCTCTGTACGACTACGATGGGCAGGAGCAGGATGAGCTCAGCTTCAAAGCAGGTACGGTCCGTCCTCAGTGCCGGGTTTGCTGGAGGTGCAGGTCCCCCACGTTTCGGTGTGAAGTCCCTCAAATAATGTCTGAGTTATCCCAGCCCTTCAGGACGCTGAATTGGCAGGAAGGGGAAGGCACAAGCTGAGCCAGGTGGGACCGAAGAGGTGGTGGGATTAGGCACATGAGGTCTCATGGGTCACCCCTTGCCTTTCCACCCTACAAATCAGCATGGTGAAGATCAGTCCTAAAACCCCCAGCAGCTCCATCCAGGGCAGAAACACGGTGGTAGAAGAAGTTCCCACATCTGCAACAAGCCTCTCCCCTTCCACCTTCCTCCCCAGGTGATGAATTAACCAAACTTGGTGAAGAAGACGAGCAAGGATGGTGCAAAGGGCGCTTGGACAACGGGCAGCTAGGTCTCTACCCCGCCAACTACGTGGAGGCAATCTAAGTCTTGTGGTGTGCTCCTTGTCGCCGTCAGCAGATAAATCCACCCTCCATTGTCTCCATCGCTCCACCAACCAGCCATGTTGCTGTCTGGTCCTTCACTCCTCACAGTTAGAGATTCAAACATATTTTCCGACCAAGCTTTTATTTTTTTAAGAGTTGTCTCTGAAGAGTATTTTGCATAGTCGCTTTCTTCTTCTTCTAAGATAACGTGAAGCGAAAGATGACGTCGTCTGTTCGTCTGCGTTAGTTGATCTCTTTTCTGAACAAAAAGCCGATACCTCAAGATCTTAAATCCCAACCAGTGAGAGCTCCTGACCGGTTGGTTTTTAAAGATACTGAAATCATGAGCCGCCTTCTGATTGGCTGGAACTGTTCCGAAATGCACAGCGCTGAAGCTCCTGGGACTAATCAAATTCATCCCGAAACCGCAAGATGGATTGGAGACTCACTCCAAGCTGCGGGTGTTTCCACGTTCTTCTCCCCAGTTCATCCTCCCTCCCCAGAGAAAGGGAACGAACATCCCCTCCAGCCCTGCAGCCGCCCGGCTCCATCTGCAGGCAGGTCCCTGCTCGTGGGCACGGCTGGTGGCAGATTCAGATGCCCAGATAAGATGGGACCGTCCCTGCCATGGAGCTTGGTGGCATCTCCTCAGCTTCCTCCTCCTCC